CTTCTGATGGCTGTGAGGAAGAATCATTGCCAGAGATCCAGAGATCCTGTGTTAGCAGGGGTCCTTCCTTCTGATGGCTGTGAGGAAGAATCTGTGCCGTTACCCTCTCCTAGCATCTGGTAGTTTGCTGCCAATCTTCAGCATTCCTTGTCTGGTAGAACCATTAGTCTGGTCTCTGTCTTCATCTTCACATGGTGTTCTCCCTGTGTGTGTGGCTGTGTAAATATTTCTCCTTTTTACAAGGACATGGTCATATTGGATTATAGCCCACGTTACTCCAGTGTGACCTCATCTTCACCTACATCTGTAATGAATGACCTTATTTCCAAATAAGGTCACATTCTAAAGTACTGGGGATTAGGACTTTAACAGATGAGTGTTGGAGTATACATTTCAACCCATAACAAAAAGCTCTAAGACTCTCATTATTTCCGTGAACTTTCTGGACTGTAAACTCTAAGGGAAACAAGCAGGACCTAATTATAACTCTGGTTGTCAGCCTCTTTACATTGCAAGCAGTCTGCACTGGAGCATGAATATGTAGCATTGAGTGTATAGGGAAAAGAATCTGACCTTCCTACTGAACAGCAAATCTTGTTCTGAAATTTTACCTGATTGTTTTTAAAGTAGAAACACCACAATTAATGTCTTGCATTGTTTACTTTCATCAATTGCAATTAATAGTTCAACTAAAAACTACTTCATTGACAAGATGGGAGTTCAGAAACCCCATCAAAGGAAATGAAAAACATGGCACAGCTTGATCAAAAATCTAAGGATGAGCTTCGGCTGGATACATGAATACTTGATCCTGCTCAAAACAAAGGAGCCAAGCTCTGAGGCTTGGAACAATTTTTATTATGAAAAAATTTTCTTTGGGTAGATTTTTTTTTTAATTTGGTTTCCTTTTTCTGTTGTTTGAAGAATGATCCATATACGGATCTTTTTTTTTTTTTTTTTTTTTTAAGGTGGAATGCTGGATGCACAAAAGGTTTGCAGTGAAAAGAAAGTACACCTCTCTCTGTGCCTTCCAATTACCCAGACACAGTCCCTGGAGACAATGCCTACCTACCGCCAATTCCTTTAGTCTCTGCATTTACAAACACCTAAAAACACCGATAGGTATAGACAGCAAAAGACAGCAAGTGGACTACCCTGCGCCTGGCTTCTCTTTACCTTGTATCTTGAAGATCCTGCCAGATCAGTCGCTGTTTCACTTACCATAGCAGCTGCACTCATTTTGTTCCAGAGTCCTTTTGGGTAGGAATTTTGTTTGTTTCTTTGTTTGTGTGTTTGTTTGTTTTGAGGCAGACTCTCACCCTGTCACCCAGGCTGGAGTGCAGTGGGGTGATCTTGGCTCACTGCAACCTCCACCTCCTGGGTTCAAGCAATTCTTGTGCCTCAGCCTCCCGAGTAGCTGGGTTTACAGACACACACCACCACACCTGGCTAACTTTTGTATTTTTAGTAGAGACGGGTTCTCACCATATTGGCCAGGCTGGTCTTGAACTCCTTTCCTCAAGTGATCCAATGGGTAGGAATCTTATGTATAAACGAGCGTGGTGTTGAGTCCTATAATGCGCCACCTCCCTGCCCACACTCCATATCACTTCGCCACTGCCAAGGGGAAGGCAGAGCTCACGCCTGCAATACAATATCAAGTGGAAAGACAGACAGACTTAAATCAGGGCTTTCAATGGCACCATTGTACTGTTAAAGTTCTGTTTGGTCACTTGTAGTTTGAAAAGAAAAAAATATCCAGTTCAGGAATTGCTTCTCTACCAAGCTTGCCTACCTGCCTGCCTGCCTGCCTGCCTGCATTCCTTCCTTCCTTCCTTCTTTCCTTCTTTCCTTTCTTCCTTCCTTCTTTCTCTCCCTCCCTCCTTCCTTCCTTCCCTCCTTCCTTCCTTCCCTCCTTCCTTCTTTCCCTCCTTCCTTCCTTCTTGCCTTCCTTCCTTTTTTTTTAATGGAGCTTTGCTGTTGTTGCCCAGGCTGGAGTGCAGTGGCGTGATCTCGGCTCACTGCAGCCTCCACCTCCAGGGTTCAAGCTATTCTCTTGCCTCAACCTCCCGAGTAGCTGGGATTACAGGTGTCTGCCACCATGCCTGGCTAATTTTTTGTATTTTTAGTAGAGACGGGGTTTAACTATGTTGGCCAGGCTGGTCTCAAACTCCTGATCTCAGGTGATCCACCCGCCTCAGCATTCCAAAGTGCTGGGATTACAGGTGCGAGCCACTGTGCCTGGCCTAAGCCTTTCTTACTAGTTCCTTTGCTCCTTTCACTCCTAAAAGGTGATAGAAGTATAAACATTTTTTTCCTAAAAATAGGAAAAAATAAAAATTTTCGGAGTTTATTTATATATTTAAAGTGGCTTACTTGCCTTTGCTAATGCTCTTATTTTTTTAATTATTTCGTTTTAATTTATTCTATTTCACTCTGTCTTATTCTAGAAAAGATTTACTAAGGCTCTAGTGTCTTGTAAAAGTCCTGAATAGCTCAGATTTTTCTATTTGCTTAGAAATTTACAGATTTTTGAACTGCTTTTAAATATTAAGAAAGTCTTTCTGCACAAAGAAACAATGTGTAGTATTACATGATTATTGTTCTAGTCCTCTAAAGTGCTTTTTCAAATTTGTAACTGTTCAGTTCAGTTGATTAATTAAAAGTTAACAATCTCCTGTGTCAAATCTTTTAACACATAGAAAAGTAATCATTCCTTTTTGTATCATATTTATCATGCTTTTTATTATAAAAGTAATATATCCATTGTAAAGTTATTTAAAAATAAAGGCACATGCACTGCATTTAGTTAACCATAACTGGCATTGGCATTTTTCATGGATACTCCCAAATATTTTCCCATGCACATTATATATTTGCATTTCAATAAACTCAGGATCACATCACATGTACTAAATGACAAACTGCTTTTGCTACCTTATCGTGTATAAGGAACATTTGTATATCATTAATCCTGCAGCACACTGTGGTTAATAACCACAGTGACTCTATCATAGGGCTGGAATGTGATTTATTTCAAATGCCCCACTGTTGAATGTTTAGGTGGTTTATAGTGATTACGCATTCAAAACAATATTGGAATACACATATGCATCACTTTCTTACACATTTTGCCAAATTGTTCTCCCAAATACTTTAAATGTTTGTTCTTAACATTTGAGAGAATAAATATTTGAGAATCTGATGGATTTTGCATCTCCTCTCAGAAAAAAAGGGCAAATATGTTCACATTTTTATACAATTTAGGAGCCCTCCAACCAAAACAACCCCAGATTAAAAACTGGTGGCATTTTATGTCTCTACAAACCATGTGAATGCCCTTTTGCTCACACTATCACTTTGTTTTCAAACTTTCTGCTGGCTTGAGAAATGAAACAGCACATCAGTCTTTTATTATTCTGTGACTGATCATGTATTTTTGTACATTGCTTATTCCAGCCTTGATACCTAATATAATTCATATTTTAAATATTGAATTTAAAAAATCTAACACAACACTATAAGATCACATAATAATGTGGAAACATTCAATTCCTGCACATTCTCTGGGCTAATAAATGATTCCAATTTGTCATGTCTCAATATTTCCACCAGAGGGCAATATTAGCCCATCTATTATTTCTCTGGCTTCAGCTCTCAAGATTTCAATTGACTTTCACTAGAAGAATCTTCCTGAAAAATACAAAGACAATAAAGTTAAATACTGCATTATGCATGTAACACATTATTATATTATTATATAAAAATTACATTGTTATAAATTTTCTATTTAATTTGTTTGAACACATGAAAATGTACGAATGGAATTTCAATAATTCTAATCATAATCAGTACTTCAAATGAAAACCATGATTTTATTCGCATTCTGTATTATATCTATTTACTTAAATTATCATAATTTGTAGGATGATGTTTGCAGTATGATTTATAATAGAATCTTCATAAACCATTAGCTTAAACAGGAAGAGCAACTGATTCTTGAAAAGTCATTCTTTAAAGGCAGTCAGATCAATTCTTGATTCCAATTATTTTGTGCCTTTGGCTAACTACATAAGAAGATAAAACCTAATTTATTTTTCTAGACTAATAAAGATATGCAGCGTATTCTTCCAAGTGCTAAGGATATTGTTGTGAAGAAAAACAGAAATCTTTGACCTCAGGGAGTTGACAGGTTACAGGGTTGGGACAGGAAGGAGAAACAAATCCATGCATCCTATATACACATTGGAGTGTGGCAGGGTCAGGGGTGTTAGGAGGAAATAAAGTCCGGAAGAGGGATACAGCACACTGGGATACATGTGGAGACCATTTTAAATTGAGTGGCCAAGGAGGCTGCACACTGGATGACATCTAAGCAGAGAGCTTAGGGAGCTGAGGGTCATGTTGATCTGAAGAAAGACAAATCCAAGCAGGGAGGGGACATCAGCTGCAAGCGCTGACTGGTGAGAAACAGCAAGGAAACCACTGTGGCTGAGACAAGTGAGCCGGAGGAGCCAGAGTTGGGAGGAACGAGGAGAGAGGGCAGAAGGCCTTGGCAACCTCGGGCTTGGACTTTCACTCTGAATGAGATGGAGAGAAGTTGGGATTTTAAGCATAGGCAGGACGTGATCTACATGCATAAAAACAATCATTCTGATGACTTTCCACAACAGACTGTACAGGGACAAAGGTAGAGACAAGGAGACCAGTTAGTAAGTTACCGCCATTAACTACATAAACTATGGTGATTTGGACCAAGGTGATGGTGACAGAGAAACGAGTTTGGGGGCAGATGACATGGGTGGTGCTGATGAGCCACAGAATAGGGAGACTGGCATTCAGGGGAGAAGTCTGGGTTGAAAATACAAAATTTGGAAGACATCAGAGTCACTATAGAGATGGAATGAAAGCCCAGCCCTGGAGCATTCAATGTTAGTTAATTTCATTTAGACATTCCACAATGTATACGTATTTCAGAACATCATGTTGTACAACTTAAACATACACGATTTTTATTTTTTAATTTAAAAGAGTAAATACAAAAAACAAAATCTATACTCTCACAAGTGCCTGCCTCAGCACATCGTTACCGGTGTTAGATATTAAGATTTTAAAACATTTTTGCTCATTTGACAGATAGAAAATGGTATTTATTGTTTGTTTTGTTTGCATTTATATATTTTTTTTAATGAAGCAATGGGATAATGTTTTGAATATCAAAAAGAAAAAGAAAAGAAAGTCACTGCTACTCCATGCCTCTTTATTCTGTATTTTACGGGGAAACATGCCTCATAGAAGCTGTGTATGTTAAAGCTAATGTCCTATCTAATTGAGTTGAACTGTGTAGCAGCCTGACTGCAGGGCTCTCCATTGTTTAAAGGGTGGCACATCCCACAGCTGACCTTAGTTTTGCATGGAGGAGCCCACTGGGTGATGATCCTGCTTCAGAGGACACTGGCTCTTATCATCCAGTGGGGACTTTCACGGAAACATCTCCCACAAGAACAAGCAGAGCTTTGCCCCAAATATCTCCCGCTGCAGCAGACAAGGCCTGCTACCCAGTTCCCTGCGTTCCCTGCTGATTTGTTGCAGAAAATGGACAATGAAGAAACGATTGCCAAGTGGGAGGAAAAAGAGGCCACTTCTAAAAACTGGCAATATCTTTCAAATATTTTGAATTTTATTAGATTCAGGATTTACTTGCTATTCCCTCTGACCAGGTAGACAGACTTGCCCAGAGTTCCATGTGATTTGCATTTTATATAATTCCAGTTTCTGATGAAAAGTCACCATCTCATCACAGACATCTTTGCAACAGAATTAGGCATCCCTTACTTTGTTTCCACCATCCCCTCATTCTCTTTCCTTTGTTTGCTTTTTCTTTGATGCCCTTTCCATTCCTGAAATTCCGTGCAGTGTGTATTTGCTTGTTTTACTCGAAGCCGCCGCCTCCTCCTCCTCCTCCTCCTCCTCCTCCGCTGTGAGGGCAGGAAATTGCTAGTTTTGTTTACTCTTCTTCCCAGTACCTTGAACACAGCACGCAGAGAAGCCACTCGATAAATATTTGTTAAGCAAATGAATTGATGTGAATCGATTCTAACAGAAGAGGAAGAAAGGAATGTTGAAGCTGATGGGAACCGTGTGCATAATATTAGGAATATGCTTATACCCCAAAAAATGTTGTTTACCTGAAATTCAACTTTAACGAGGCATCCGGAGTTTCATTTGGCAAGTCTATTTTAAATGTTGGCAAAATACCCCAAACATAACACATCCATGTAGGTGCTTAAGCAATATAATCAAGAGGTAGCATGATATAGTGGGAAGAGCTGGAATTAGGATCAGACAGCCCTCGAATCATGTGGCTGTTGAATGTTTATTTTATGAAACATACTCTCTTGCATGCTATAAAAATGATTCAATTACTTGTTTAATAACTATGTGTCAAGCACAGGACTTGTATCCAGAAGTTAATCCACAATGGCACAAACTTTTCTATACTCACTTTTCCCTTATACTTTATTGACAACATCTTGCAAATTAATTACCTTCTCAAAAATGCTATCCCCTTATTCTTGTTCAGAATCATAAAAGAAGTCCACTTTTACCTTTTGCTGAAGACAGATGAGTCTGTTGGCAGAATT